AGCCCACAATTATTAATTTTTTTTTTTCTCCCAGCCCAAATTCCAGCTGTTGGATTGGTGGGAGACAAACAAATGGCTTTATCTTCTCAGGCTTCATCAAAGCCAGAGGGACATTTGCCTCCTTGGGAAATGGCTGAGAGCCATCCAGGGCTGTCCAAGGAAAATGAAGGATTGTTGAGTTCATCTCGGATGTCTAAAACCCACCTCACCTGAGCCCTCTTAGGCTTTCATTTCACACTTGTGGCCATAATATTTTACTCTTTCTTTGCACTGTGAGTCCTCACAGGGCAGGGAAGATCCTCCTAAAAGTGCCAGAGACAGAGAATCCGGGTGGCAGCTGTGAGTTCTGGACAAGGCGTGTGGCCTCTCCTGGGAGGGCTGTTCCTGAGCAGGTCTGGGGGAAGGACCCCAAATAAAGGTGTTTATTGGGGCTGCTCTGCACATTCTGTAGCTATTCCAGCTGTAAATGGGAAAGGAAACTTGAGCTGTGCACAGGGATTTGTTCCTGACGTGATCCTGAGCGTTTGGCTCTAAAGTCATGGCATGAAAAACACCCACAGCGCAAACAAGGTTTAGCAGGGACCACCTGCATCGCCCACCTGACCAAATTCATCTCTATCCCAGCTCATTCATCGCTCTTGGGTTGTGGATATTTGGGAAATATGAGGAATATTTCTTCAAGACTCCATTTCCCATCCATTCTCACTCCAGGAGGACTGTGTATAACTTGTTTCTGGCACCTCCAGGGGAGGTTGGAATTACAGTTGTCTATTAGAAAGCGCCAACATCTTTAATTTGGTGCTTGATTTAGTTTGGCCCAGCTTGGGAGGGTTGGCCAGTGATGGCCATTTCTACCAGCTGGACACAGAGGGATGGTCTGGTGCCCACTTCATGCTGAGACCCCCTTTCTGCAGGTGTCTCACACACCAGCACAGGATGCAAAAATTCCTTGCAGTGTCCTCTCCCAGCCATTTCCATGGACTGTGTGCTGGCTGGAAGATCAGATCTGGAGAGAAGGCCAGGTTGGACAGGGCTTGGAGCAACCTGGGCTGGTGGAAGGTGTCCCTGCCCATGGCAGGGGGTGGGACTGGACGATCTTTAAAGTCCCTTCCAACCCAAACCATCCTGTGATTTCATGAAGACATCCACCCACCTTTGCAGGCAGAACAGGGCTGAAAACTAAGCTAAAGGAATAGCAAACCACTCCTGTTGCTTTCTCAGAGATTTTGGGAGGTTATTCTCGTCTTAGCAGCAAACACCGTAAAAGCAAACACCAAATGTTCTGGTGTCAACAGCTTGTCATGGAAATAATAACAGTGTTATCACTGTGGAGGGCTGTGTGTGAATCACAGGATCACAGAGTCATTTAGGATGGAAAAGACCTCCAGGATCATCGAATCCAACCTTGAACCAATCCCCACCTTCTCCCCCAGCCCCGAGTGCCATGTCCAGGCATTCCTTGGACACCTCCAGGGGTGGGGACTCCCTTTCCAATGTCTAACCACCCTTTCCAGGAAGAAATTCCTCCTGATGTCCAACCTGAGCCTCCCCTGGCACAGCTGGAAGCCGTTCCCTCTCCTCCTGTCCCTTGTTCCCTGGGAGCAGAGCCCGACCCCAACCTGACTCCAACCTCCTTGCAGGGAATTTTAGAGATCCAGAAGGTCCTCCCTGAGCCTCCTTTTCTCCAAGCTGAGCTCTCCCAGCTCCCTCAGCCCCTCCTGCTGCTCCAGCCCCTTCCCAGCTCCCTTCCCTTCCCTGCACACGCTCCAGCCCCTCAAATCAGGAGCGTAAAAATATTCACACCTAATACATATAAAAACTAGAGGGATGTGTCCCAAAACCCCAGCTTGGACTGGTTTGGTTCCTCCTAAAACCTCCAAAGCCCAAGCACTGCTTGGATCAGAAAGGGAGAGTGGCAGGATCTCACCTTGGTGCTCTCCAGGCATTTTATTCACCATTTCCAGCCCACACAGGGTCACCTTCACATTCCTTTACCCCCCACCTGCACTTCCTCGAGGAAGGAAATCGTCTCCCTGGGGGAAAGTCAGACCCCTGAGGTCCTGTGGAGATGGGAAGGGCCAGTTTTTCCTCTGGCTCCCGCATGGGAGAAGCAGCTCAGCGCGAGTGTCACCGAGGTGAGCGAGAGCGGAGACAGATGTGGAGCCCGGGATGGGAAAACAAACTCATTACTCCATCTGCCCGCCGTAAACAGCGTGAAATTAGCAGCGAGAGAGGGATAAAACTCCAGACAAATGGCCTTTTAAAGAGAGCAGGGGGAGCTGGAAGAAAAGCAGAGGCACGGGAAGCCCAGCCTGGCGCACATCCCGATTTTCAGTCAGGGAGGACGAAAATTCCCGAGGGCACAAAACCCTCCAGGAGCTATTTGGGAAGGCGAAAGCAGAGAGGCCACTGCATCTTTCTGGGAGACTGATATTGCTCCTGTCCTGCCTCGTAGGAAGAAACCCCATCCATTTTATAAGTCACAGAGATTTATTATTTATCTTTTTTTCCCCCCTAAGAGGCTCTGCCTTAATGTTGCATAAAATGACTCTCCCCGTGTGAGGAGTGTGGTTGTGTTGCTTCAGCTGCAAAGACACCCCTAACACCAAAAGCCCCTGAACAATTTGGGGTTTAAGTGACGTGGCCACGGGTCATTTGCCATAAAGCCTGAATTAAGGGATTGTTTTTATGCTGTAAATATTCACCCCTGGCCTTTGCTCCGCGGAGCAAACCTCGGGCTCGGGGATACATTTACTTAAAAAATTTCGCCGGGAAAATTGTCTCGAATGGTCAGTCTGCTGGATTTATTGGAAGTGGGATCCCGAAGTGTTTTACAGCTTTTACGGGCTGGTTGTGTTTATAACCATCCTGGGGAGTATCTTCTGCGATTCATGGAGCGGGGAAGGGGAAGGAAGGTCATAATTTGTGCTTTAACCTACTTTTCCAGCGGCTGACGGGACGCTGACAAAGTCATCTCCTCCAGAATACAACCAACCCTGCTTTATCCTCGTCCAGAGCAGATCCCTTCGGAGAAAGGCAGGGTGAAACAAGCCAAGCACTTTTCATCTTTATTCCTACTGGTTCTGCTCGGATGTGTTCAGATATTTTATGGATCCCGGTGAAATCGCAGCCCGAATGATATTTCAGGGAAACTCATTCCTTGTTTTCGGAGTTCTTCAATGTATGACAGCCCAAGGCAGAGTTTCCCTGCACGCTGGAAATAATTTCTCTCACCGCGTTTGGCAGATCCAAACAAGCCCTGAGTGCTGAATAAACCAGGCCTATGAATAAATCAGGGGTAGGAGAAGTGGGATCCGAGGCCGTGCGAGATTGGAAATACCTGAAAACTCGGCATTGGCCACGAGGCACTTGGAAAAAGTCTGGGGTTTGATGAAAGGCTCTGCATTTGAGATGCCACTGGGGCATTTCGGCAGGAAACCTCCTGGTGGGTTCACCCAAAGTTTGTCATAAACATCAGTGAAATATCTGCGCTCCAGCTGCTACTTGAGTCAAGAGCAGCAGAGGCAGCTCCTTCTCAGCAAACACCCTGAGACTGCTGAGGGAGGAGAAATGGGTGTACCAGGCTCCAACACCGGACTGGGAGGTGCAGGAGTCAAGGAGAGGTGGCCAGTGGAAGAAAGGACTTTAAGGAGAGATCAGTAGATGCTGGAGAGAGCAGAGATTCCATGAAACCCCCAGAGAGGGAGGTCAGGGACTCACAGTTTCCTCAGGAGGGAGGATTTTCTGATATTGTCTAACTTGGGTCTCACCAGTACCAGACACTGGGGTGGCTCTAAAAGCAGAAGGTGCCCCCAGCTCATCCATCCTCAACCCTTCTGGTTCCCATCCAGAGGGAAGACAGGTTATGTCAGAGACAGGGAGCTCCTCTGGGAGCTGTTTGAGAAATCCTCCTCCAAGGTCATGGCAGCAGTTTCTGTTTTAATAGTGGCAGCAGGATCCAAAAATTACATTTTCCAGGCTCTGGAACTGATTGTCCCCTTCCATAAATCAGTTTTCCCTCATAGCATCTTCCCCCCCATGCTTTGGTCCCCCCCTCTCCACAGGGGGAACAAATCCCTCCGTATTTTCACGAGTAGCTCTGAAGAGAATTTCCAAAATCCTGGAAAAAGCCACGGCAAACCCAAAAAGTGGGAGTCCTGGGGATGTGCTGACAGGGGAGGGCCAACTGCCTGGACACAGGTGGGGCTGATTCCGTGTCAGAACACCCACACACAGCCATTCACAGCTTCAGGGAGGCACAGGCACAGGGAAATCACCTGCCAGGAGGAGAGGCCAGGGGTTGGGCTGCTGTTAACTTGGGAGAGCAGGAATTAGGTAGAGAGCAGGGAGGGGGAAATGAGTTTAGGAAGCTTTTTGTGCTCCAAGAAGCAAAGAGGAAGCACCAGGAATGGGTTTCTCTCACTTATAATCCTGCTGCGGGGCTAGCCCTGTCATGGAATCATGGAATGGGTTGGGAGAGACTTTAAATACCATCCAGTCTCACGGGCAGGGACACCTTCCACTAGCCCAGATTGCTCCAACCTGGCCTTGGACACTTCCAGGAGTGGAGCAGCCACAGCTTCTCCGGGCAACCTAGAAGAAGGAGGCTGTGGGAGACACAATCCATTCCCAGCCTGGGGTTGCTCCATAACCCTCACACCACTTCCCTGGAGCAGAGGAGACTGAGGGGAGACCTCCCTGCAGTTCCAACTGCCTGGGCAGGGGCAGAGGAGGGGCAGGACTGAGCTCTGCTCTGGGGGGGACCAGGGACAGCCCCCAGGGAATGGCTGGAGCTGGGACAGGGCAGGCTCAGGGTGGATCTCAGCAGAAGGTTCTTCCCCCAGAGGGTGAAGCTCCAGGAGGGTTTGTCCCACCCTCTGGGGGCACAGGGTGGGATCGCTGGGGTGTCTGCGCAGGGCTGAGGAGCTGGACCGGATGATCCCTGTGGGTCCCTTCCCAGCTCAGGGCACCCCTGTGACTCTGCTTTCCTTGCAGAAGGGATGGCAGAAGCCGTGAGCTCGAGCAGGGACTGCCTCCAGGCCGGCGAGTCGTGCACCACGGACCCGGTGTGCAGCGCCAAGTTCCGCACGCTGCGCCAGTGCATCGCCGGCAACGGCGCCAACAAGCTGGGCCCCGGCGCCAAGAGCCAGTGCAGGAGCACCGTGAGCGCCCTGCTGTCCAGCCAGCTCTACGGCTGCAAGTGCAAGAGGGGCATGAAGAAGGAGAAGCACTGCCTGAGTGTCTACTGGAGCATCCACCACACCCTCATGGAAGGTCAGTCCTGCGGGGAGATGGTTCCTGGCAGCCTTCAGGAGAGGGGGCTGCTCACGGAGCTCCTGCAGAGCAAGGTCGCCCCTGTAGCCTCCTGTTCCCTCTCAAGATCTACTGACAGGAGCCAGGGAATGGCTGGAGCTGTGTCAGGGCAAGTTTTAGGGTGGATCTCAGGACAAGGTTCTTCCCCCAGAGGGTGGTTGGCACTGCCCAGGCTCCCCAGGGCAGTGGGCACAGCCCCAAGGCTGCCAGAGCTGCAGGAGGGTTGGGATGATCCTCTGGGGCACAGGGTGGGATTGGTGAGGTGTCTGTGCAGGGCCAGGAGTTGGACTGGATGGTCCTTGTGGATCCCTTCCAACTCAGGATATTCCATGATTCTACTGACCCCCCTGGCAATGACATTTTGGGCAGAGCAATCCTGAAAACCTGAGGCACCTCCTGCCTTTTCTTTTCTTTTTCTTTCTTTTTTTTTTTTTTAACTTCCCCTCTCTTTTATGACACTCCCAACATACCTTGAGATCTTTTCCTGGGGAAATGCACAGCACTTTTTTTGCATCTAAGGACGTCAACCAAGACCCACGAGCGCCGTGGATTTGGCAGAAACACCACATAAAGCACAGGCAAAGAGGGAAAAACAGCGCGAGCTTTAAAAAAATATCACTCTCTTGGAGCCTCTGGAACGCACCAGTGTCTTTGGGTTAGTGAAGATTTGGGGCTGGTGACATGGAGCTGGAATTTAAAGCGTTCCCAGGGCCGGGATTCAGTAAGTTTGGATTTTGACGGGTTTTAAGAGTCGCCATAAAATCGCACCTCGGCAGCCGTAACTCTTCCTTGTCAGGCAGAGGAGGGGTTTTATGCACCATGAAAATTAAAATGGGGAATAAAACAGAACCCTTCCAGCCACGGGCTGGGAAATAGATTAATAAAACCCCGCTGGATGAAACCTGGAAGGAGAAGCTCAGGGGTGAGACCACGGGCCAGGAGGGCAAGCAAAACAAAGGGGATGGAGAATACAATGCACAGGATTTCTGGAATGGGAGCTGGTTGGGAATGGGAGCTGGTTGGGAATGAGAACTGGTTGATCAAGTTCCTGGAAAGCTTTCAGGTGCCACAGCTTGAAGGGTGCAGAGCACAGTGCTGTGAACTGACTGGGGAAATAAGAGGCCTCAGCACCCTCCAGGATGCAATTTTTCCCACAAAAATGTTGGCTGGATTGGTTTCCATTGAAGTGAAGCTTGGGGAAGAGGTGGCAATCCAGGGACATTCATCTCAACGGGCTGTGTCACAATTCCTTTCCTGCTGACCTTCATGGCTTTGGACACAGTTCATCTGTGATGTGGCTCTGCAGGTCAGGAGAACTTCCAGCTCTGGGACATGGAATGGTTTGGGTTGGAAGGGACCTTAAAGATCATCCAGTTCCAACCTCCTGCCTTGGCCAAGGACACCTGGCCTTAGAAGGAAGAGGAGAGAGGCTGGCAGAGGTCAGGAATGGGTCTCCAGGTGCAAAATAGGATTTGATGGGCTGGATGAACTTCCCTGCCCAGCAACTTGAGACTTTGGGATGAGAGGGCTGTTGTAGGAGGCTGGCAAGGCTCTGCCCCCCTTCTCTGCTGCCCTGTCCTAAACCCTACATTTTTCCCATGACTGAGGTCACTTGCAGTGCAGATTCACCCCCCCCCAAACCTTTGGTTTCCCTGCCTTAATTTCCCCGGGGTGATACATTTCATAACCGCCCCGGAGTCCTTACACGTTTAATTGACTGAGAAAAGAATCCGCACGGAGCTCTGTCTCTCACTCACACGTACCCAGGAGGCTGCAAAAAGCTTCCTAGAAGCCCTCTTGTAAAAACAATCGTGGAAGCGTGTGCTCAGGGAATTTCCAAAGCCTTTAGCCGCCTTCCCCCTGTTTAGAGACACAATAACACGATGACAACCCGATAACAACCCACTGATAAAGGTGCTTTATCATCAGAACATAAAACTGCTGCCGTGGGACGTGCAAATGGGCCCCTCTCCGGTGGGTAACGAGGCGGGATATTTCAATGGAGGTGTAAAAGCTGCCTTGTAATGCACCTGTGGTAATTCCAGGCCGTTGTGTATCCTGGGAGCCGTTTCTTCCTGGAGATCAGCATATGCTGGGAGCGTGAGGTTTGATAGTCCTTTTATCCCAGCTGCTGTTCCACATCCATCTAAATGTCCAGTAAAGCAAGGAATTGATGCTGGGTGGGTTTGCTTCGGCAATATTCCGTGGGATCCGTCAGGACGGCGGGGCAGGACAGACCGTTGTGAATAAAATCAGCCTCCCGGAGACTCGAAAAGGAGGAGGGGAAGTTCCTGCGGGAGCTGTGGCTCATTAGCTCTGTGCCAAGTAATAATGGCAAGGAGAAAGGGAGAGGTGGTGATAAATATGGGGGGTGTTGTCACACACACGCACACACACAGCCCTAGAAAGAGGGGAGGATCATATCCCAGGGAGGGAGGGAGGCAGAGGAAAGAGGAAGAATGGTAATGGAAACTCCACGTGTGGAGGGAGCTGGTGGTTTGAACCCTACCCCACAGCTTGGTGTCCTCATTGACAATCCCTGGAGAGTGGCCTGAGCTACAGAGGATTATCACTCAACAGTTCCCTGCCCCACTCCAAAGCTGAGATGTATTTTTAAAAGTCAATCCCATCCTACTCCCCTCTCCAAGGATATGTGCACGCACCCAGTCCCTGTGACTCGGGGGATTTATTTACGGTGCTTGGGGCCACCAAACAATCCTGCACTGCAGCCTCTGAGCCTTGTGCACCTCAGCCATCCCTCAGGAGCCCGAGCTGCCTTCTCACCAGCTTCTCCTGTCCCCCCAGGAATGAATGTCCTCGAGAGTTCCCCCTACGAGCCGTTCAGCAGGGGCTTCGATTACGTCCGCCTGGCCTCCATCACCGCAGGTAGGTGGGAGAGGAGCTGCTCTTACTGGTTCAAACTGGAGGGGGGTGTGGAAAGGTGGGATTGGCTGTGGAAGAGCTACAGACAGGGAAATCCTTTGTGAGCATTGCCTGGTTCAGGTCCAGCTGTTGCTTTTCCAAGGAGCTGCCTGTGATTCCTGTGCTGAACTGTTACGTGTTCTGGGAAGAACCGCTCGTGGTTTCATCTTTGGGCTGTTTTTGTGTCTGTTAGATGGGCAGGGAAAAAAAGGGCTGAGAGGGAGGGATGTGGTTAAGAAGGCCCCTTCCAGTGGGCTCATTCTCCACAGCAGGTGGATGATCTGTGGCCTGCAGACACCTCGTCAAACAGGAGCTGCTTGGGTTTCTAAGGTGCTTCCACATCAGGCACAGGGTCAAACTCTGCAGGGAAAAGGGTCAATAATCCACTCTGGGGGTTGATCCCAGACACAGCCTTTAACCCCATGCCCCGAGGGCAACCTCAGACCCCTGTTCTGCCCTGCACCATGCAATCCCCTTAACAACTTAAACAGAGCTGCCTGACACCTTTTGACCCCTGGAGGGCACAAACAGGGCTCAGCAGTTAAAAGGTCAGCCAACAACCCATCCATCACCATCCAGCCCCTGCCCCAGCCGTGGGGGAGCTCCACCAACAGTGATTTTTGCTGTAAAGCTCCCTGTCTGGGAGCAGGTAATGTGCTCTGGCAGAGGTGCCAAAACATCTGTCCTGCCTCAGCTTTTCCCCAGCGTGGCCCTGGCTCTGGGGTGACATCACAGCTGGAGGGCACCCAGGCGAGGAGGAGCAGCAGGTCCCTGCGGCTGATGGATGTCCCCAGTCCCTGCCACGGCCGGGAGAAATGTCCAGGAGCAAATTAACCCATCAGCCCCGGACAATCAAACCAGGGAGGGACGGGAGGTGCTCCCTGCTCTTCTTATTGACTCCACTTGACAGACCGGAGCGTGGACACTGGAGCGTGGCCAGAGCTGTTTGCTGGGTCATGGCCTTTCTAATGGGGTTTTTCCACCTTTTCTAAGAGCCCTCGGGGGCTTCAGAGCAGGGGGAAATCCAGGCATGGGGGTTTTTATGCACGGTTAGCACATTTTTAAGGCAGACTGAAATCGTTAGGGCAGCAAAGCAAATGGGCCCGGAGCAGCAGGGATTCATCAGAGGGCTCGGCAGCCACTTAAGGGGCACGAATTTTCTTGCTTTAACCTGTTTTTCCCTATTTACACCAATCATAATACGAATTACAACCTGCCACCCTGTGCCTGGGTCATGCAGTCAGCATTGCCAAAGGATCCTCTTTCAAATTTCCCCCCTCCAAAAAAAATTCCCCAGCACTTGTTGAAACAAAAGACACCCCCACGACCGTTTGCCAAGCGAGAGCAAGGGGTATTTTAAACCAAACTTCACATAAACAATATATGGCCGCTCCTAAAACTGGGCAAATGGAGCCATATCCCCTCCACTCTTAATTGCAGCAGTGATTTAAAAAGCACATCCTCTGGTGTTGCGTGGGAAGAGGAGAAAATCCAGCGTGTTCCCTGTGATTTATGGACTGAATGGATAATGAAACCCTTCCAAGGAACTGTTTCCTCCACGCTGGCTGGCAGGTCTCTGGCATAAACCTGGGCTCCGACAATATTCCTCTCCCTGGGCATTTTTAGAGGGAAGTATTTGGTGGTGGGAACACTCCAAATGAAAGTTTCACCCTGAAAAAAAACTCGGAATTTTACTTGCAGCTCGCTGTAAACGGCAGGGACAGCAGGGAGGGAAAAATAAATGCCGGGAGAAGGAGCATCTGATAATGTCAGGGAAATGAAGGAGGGCAGCCAGCTCTGAGGTGCTCAGGGAGACTGTCAATGTTTCAGCACTTGTCAGCAGTGACTGGCTGGTTTTAACTCCTGGCCAAAGATAGGGTTTGAGTCTGCACTGGGAATTTGTCATTTTGGGGGATTTTTGCTCAGTGTGCTGAGGATTTTTCCCTTCTGTGCTGAGCAGAAAGTGCTGGTGTGCTGCAGGTCCTGGGCTTAACTCAGAGAGGGGAAAATCAGCTCCAGCTCCATTTTCTCCCTCATGCTTGGAGTCTCCTTGTCTTACCTGGGGGATCAAACAGAGCCTGATATCCTGACCCACTCCTGCCACAACTCTCTAAAACAGACCCCCTTCCATCTCTAAGGACACTCCAGCCAGTGTTACACAAACACCTTTCACAGAATCCCAGAATCCCAGAATGGTTTGGGCTGGAAGGGACCTTAAAGCCCATCTCGTTCCAACCTTCATGGATTTACTGGTCAGGACTGGTCTGGATGGGGGAAGTGAAAGATCTGCTGTGGCACTTTGAGACCCAAACAGCTCCTGCTTAGCTGGGCAGGTCCTGGCATGGACCAAAGCCTGGTGTGACCCTCCAGGTCTTCCTTCCAGAAGAAACTCCTTGCATAGGATAGGGAGCCTGAGGTGCCAGGATTAGTGCAGACCATCCACGGATCAGCAGACCCAGCTTTGCCACTGGCTCAGTGCTTAGTTTTGAGCAACTTTTGGGGAAAAAAAAGGGTCAGTTATCAGAGATCCCAGTTGGTGGATCCGGTCATGGCCACAAGCAGATGCAGTTTCTAATGGCTCCTGTTTTCCCAGGCCTCAAGTTCCAGTTCCCATTGGAAAAGTGTTAGGAGATGCCCAGGGTAGAGCAAAGTTTCATTTTATTAAATACAGGAAAAGGGGGGAGCGATTTTTTTCTTGGGAAAAAATTGAGTGTGGGAAGTGGATTTGGGCCTGCCAGGACACAGCAAACAAAGGAGGGCTTCACCTGGACACTGTTTACTTGGAGTGGGTTGTGGTTGATGCAGGAAAACAACCCCCTCAGACTCTTTTTGAGTGTTAGAAAGAAAAACCCATTCTCTTTATGCAGGAATATTTTCCAAAGTGTGCCTAAGACAACAAAGTCTCTTACTTTAATCTGGTTATCTAATTACCAACTCCAGGCATTACCTGAGACTGCCACACCCTCTCCAAACCCGTCCTCCCTCAGTACCACCCTCAGGAATGATTTAATATATATTATATACGTAATATATATATATATATATGTATATTTTATATATATTACATACATAATACATTAAATATATATAACATGTAAAATATAATATATAATTCCCAATATATAGTGTATAAACTATATAAACTATGGAATATATTCATTGCTAATATACTAGAATAATCATTATAATTAAATATTGGTAATTAATAATTTGACAATATAATTAATAGTTATCATATGCAATTATAATATAATTATAAAGTATATAGTTAATATTTAATACAGTATAAATAGTATATTGTATTTTATAATTAATATCTAATATTATATTATATTATATATAATATTATGTATAATATAGAATATAATATACAATATTATATATATAATATAATCATTAAATATAATGTTATATATTACATATAATAGTATATAATGATAGTTAACTATGAACTATAATAATGTGTTAATTTTATATATAGTTATAGTGTATATATATAAAATTTATATAATTATATAGTATATAATTATAATTACAATGTACAATTATTACAACATATTATAATATTAATAATATTAATTATATTAATTATCATATTAATCACATAATGCACAATGTATTTTGTAAATATTATCAGCTATACAATATATTTAAATGACATAAAATACAATATATATTATATATACAGCATGTATAATACATATGTATAGTATGTACAATAAATGTCACATATATATTATATATACTATATATTATATATTGTATGTATAATATATGTACTATATGTTATATTTAGCATTAATAGTTTATAATGTATATATAATGTATTATATATACATAAAATAAATTTTATTTTTATTATATATTTTTATTATATTTATTATATAATTTTATATAGATTTATTATATTATTTTTATTATGTATTTTATCTATATTATAGATAAAATACATTTTAATAAATCTTTTTAAAATATAAATTTTATATTATAAAACATATATTTATCTATATTATAGATAAAATAGATAATATCTATAATGGCCGTAATATCTATAATATATATAATATATAATATATATTATATATAATATATAATATCTATAATAGCCATAATATATATAATATATATTAGATGTAATATATATTAGATATAATATATAATACCTATAATATCCATAATATCTATAATATATATTATATATCATATATAATATCTATAATAACCATATCTATAGTATCTATAATACATATTATATATATAATATCTAATATCTCTAATGTCCATACTGTCTATAGCATCTATAATACATAGAATATAAATAATATCTAATATCTATAATATCCACAATGTCTATAGTATCTATAATACATATAATACATATAATACATATAATCTATATAAAATATATATGTTCTAATATATATATATAAATCTAGATATAAAATATATCTAATATATATTATATACTATACGATATAATACACAAAACACATCTCCAGGGGTGCCTCCGCCGGGGTTGGGGGTGGTGGGATCCGGCTGCCCAAACCCCCCCAAACCGTGCCCCGTGTGCCGCAGGGTCGGAGAACGAGGTGACGCAGGTGAACCGGTGCCTGGACGCGGCCAAGGCCTGCAACGTGGACGAGCTGTGCCAGCGGCTGCGCACCGAGTACGTGTCCCTGTGCATCCGGCGCCCGGCCCGCGCCGACTCCTGCAACCGCTCCAAGTGCCACAAGGCCCTGCGCCGCTTCTTCGACCGCGTGCCCCCCGAGTACACCCACGAGCTGCTCTTCTGCCCCTGCGACGACACGGCCTGCGCCGAGCGCCGCCGCCAGACCATCGTGCCCGCCTGCTCCTACGAGGCCAAGGACAAGCCCAACTGCCTGGCGCCGCTGGACTCCTGCCGGGAGAACTACGTCTGCAGGTAAGGGCCGCGAGCGCGGGGGACGGGCGGCCCCGAAGGGTTTGTCCGCTGGTGACGGCTCCAGTCGCTCGCCTGAAGGGTCCCCCGTCCCGCCTGGTGGCTGCCTCAGTGGCCCCTTCCCGCGGTCTCACATCCCTGTGTCATACACGAGGGGTGTGACGCAGGCAGAGGATGATTTGAGATGTTCGTGCTGCAGCTTTTTGGGCTTTTTCTATGTTGGGGTTTTTTGGTTTTTTTTTGGGCTTTGGTCCTAAAGAAAGACCCGCCTCGGGTCTCGGTGGCAAAGCTGGATCTCGCACCACATCCCCCTGACAGGCTGTTGTCCTGCTGGCTCCTTCCCATGATCCATATCCTTGTATTTTACACAGGCAGAGGAAGATTTGAGATGTTCATCCTGCAGCTTTTTAGGCTTTTTCTATGGGGTTTTTGTTTTTTTGGCTTTGATCCTAAAGAAAGACCCCGCTCCGGGTCTCGGTGGCAAAGCTGGGTCTCCTGATCTGTGGATGGTCCGCCCCAATCCTGGCATCTCACACCCTTTATCCTGTGCAGTGGGTTTCTTCAGGAAGGTGTGAGCCACGCAGGGATGTGGGGTGGGGTGTTTGCAGCCACTTTCACCCATCCATCTCCTCGCTTGTCCACTCCCCTAGTCCACAGCAACCCACATGGAGGGAAAGGACAAGGGGGAATGGCTTTAAATTGAAGGAGGGTAGAATTCAGTTGGACATTAGGGAGAAAATATTCCCTGTGAGGGTGGGGAGGCCACAGAGAAGCTGTGGATGCCCCACCCCTGGAAGTGTCCCAGGCCAGGTTGGACAGGGCTTGGAGCAACCTGGGCTAGTGGAAAGTGTCAGTGCCCATGGCAGGGGGGTGGGACAAGATGATCTTTAAGGTTCCTCCCAACCCAAACTATTCCATAATTTTAAGCTCTAGTGGTTGCAACAGGAGGCTCAGGGTCTCAGTGTCACTCCAGATCCACCACTCAGCCTGTGGCCGGTGTGGTTTGCTGCTCTGTTCCCATCCAACCCATCCCACGCGCTCGCTCACAGCCTTTTTCCTCCTTCTGTGCTGTTTTCACCCCTGTATTTCTCCAAAAGTCCTTGATATTCCAGAAGGCCCATCCACACACAGCTCCCAGGAGCAGAGCCCATCTGGCAGTGGGAGATGGGAGGCCACAGCAGCACCAAGCATGGTGGTCCCAGCCCGGTGCCCTGGGGGCAGCTGGAGCCCTGAGCAGACACATGGAGAAGGAAAGCACAAGGACAAGTGTAGGACACACCAACCTTATCCCTGACTCATAATTACTGTGGGGTTTGGGACTTGCTGAGCTGAACTTCCAGCAGCCATCGCCCACCAGCACATCATCCTGAAATTACAGTTAAAATAGTCTGTATTTTCACAAAAGGGAGGTGAGAGCAGCAACATCCTCTTGGAAGGACGGGCTGGGACAAACGTCCCCCTGCACCCCAGAAACGTAGATGAGGGACAATGACTGAGAACGATGCGAAGCCCCAGAGCCACCCCAGCCCTGGCACCCAGGGAATCTGAAATGGAAGATTGAGCCTGGAATCTGAAATGGCCCTGCCCTCTCCCTGACAAGACAAGAGGGCCCAGCGGGGAGGAGGAGGAGGAGGAGGAGGAGGTTCAAAGGGGAGAGTGTTGCCCCCCCAGGAGGCTGGAAACCATTTCCTGCCCCAGCACAGCTGTTAATTATCTGCTGCCTTGGCCTCTGAATGTAAAATGTAAAATATCCTCCAGAGGCACAGCAGGAGCAAGGGGTTGACGTGTGACCTGGTCAGAGCCGGAGGTGCAGAAACCACGAGGAATAAATCATAAAGAAATGGAGTAAAACCCTCCATTTTGCCTGCCCTGCAAGTCGTCCTCCTGCAGCTCCTTCCCAGCTGGAACCCCTTGGATTTCCCAGCTTGGAGAGGTGGCTTCTGCTGGCCTGGATTGTATCAAGTTATAAAAAATCTGCCAGCAGCATCTCCCTCCTCTAAAAGTGGCAAATTTTTGGGCAAGAAGAGTTTTCCTAGGGTCACAGGAGAAAGGGGTTGGTGTGGGGCAAATATGGGAACAAAGGGAAAAAAAAGAAAAGGAGAAGGCTGGGGAGGAGGAGAGAAGGGGGCAGGAAAGTGCAACTTGGAATTCTGACCCCGGCCAGGGAAACCAACAAAATATCTGGAAAAGAGAGGGCGTCTGGGAGGTTTTTCTGAGGTTTCCCAGGCAGGGCAAACATTTTGAGGTCGATTCACAGCTCAGACACTGCAGGTGGGCATCAAAAGGGCTCTGCCTTCAAGTGTCAGCAGTGTCTGAGGTCTGTCCAGATGGAGCTGCCTCTCCACCAGGTCCTACCTGAAAGCCCCATGTGGATGTCTCAGATATCCTATGATACGCAATTACCACCATGTGCCAAAAACTGCCTCATCCCTAAAGAATCAAGTGGTAAATAACTGGATCTACCTGCTCCACAGGCTCCAGAGGGTCCAACCTTCTCCTGGAAACCAGGGCCTGCAGCAGAGGATGGGGCAGGTGATGTGTAGAACATTCCAGATCTGAGCCTTTGGACATTCCCCTCAGGCTGAGGTGATCTCAGCTATGTTTAGAGTCTTCAAAGAGAGAGAAACTTGACCAGGGTGATTCCCTGTTCCAACAAATCAGCCCCAAAATGAAGGCTGGGGGTCTTTAGGCAAAGCTAAAAATGATGAACGCAGAATGAATTCCCTCCCTGCAGGCAGCAGCTCTTCCCTCAAAACCCAGCCTCACACAGCAGAGAACAACCATTTCTCCCAAGACTGGACCTTTCCTTTAGCCCCAGAGGAATCCTGTTAAAAAATGAACCGCAGAACCTGTTCAAAAACTACTCCTGGGTTTGTTGGGGCGGGCAAATGTAAAATTACGTCAGCTCGAGCTGGTTTAGCAGCACCCGCAGCACCAAAGGATTTTACCAACACTACCAGCCGGCTGTTATATGTTTTTTTTTTTTTTTTCCCCCAAAAAATCTGTGCTAATCCATCCCATTTTGTGCTGTGCTTCCCTCAGGTCCCGCTATGCAGAGTTCCAGTTCAACTGCCAGCCGTCCCTGCAGGCTCCCAGCGGGTGCCGGCGGGACAGCTATGCTGCTTGCCTGCTGGCCTACACCGGCATCATCGGTATGGGGGGGTCAGATCGGGTCTTCTTTAATTACTAAAGTCAAATGGGAGGTGGAGAGAGAGAAAGAAATAAAAAAGAGGTGGGAGGGAGGGGAGAGAGAGGGATCCAGCGTCAGGGAAAGCGTGGCCAGCCGGGAGAGGGAGGGGATTGTCCCGCTCTGCTCCGCACTGGGGCGGCCTCACCTGAAAGTTTGGGAATGTTCCACCTGGAGAAGGCTCTGGAGAGACCTTCCAGCACCCTGCAGAGCCTGAAGGGGCTCCAGGAGAGCTGGAAAGGGACTTGGGACAAGGGATGGAGGGACAGGACACAGGGAATGGCTTCCAACTGCCAGAGGGCAGGGAGAGATGGGAGATTGGGAAGGAATTGCTGGCTGGGAGGGTGGGCAGGCCCTGGCACAGGTTGGGCAGAGAAGCTGTGGCTGCCCCTGGATCCCTGGAAGTGTCCCAGGCCAGGTTGGAGCACCTTGAGCTAGTGGAAGGTGTCCCTGCTCATGACAGGGGGTGGAACGAGATGATCCTTAAGGTCCCTTCCAACCCAAACCATTCCACGACTCTATGAATGTTCTCAGGGAACCTGAATTCCCAGAAAATGTCCATTCCTTGGACTGAGAGCACTTTCTAATTGACTGAAAGCTTTGATGGTGGTGGTGGGGGAGTGACCAAAAGGGTGGTGACTTCCCCTTTTCTCCTCCCTGGGAGCAAAGCAGACGGGTGACAGCAGCGCTGGGAGGGCTGTGCCGCCACCACCACGGAGGGCTTTGCCCAAGGGCAGAGTAACCCAAGAGAGCAGCTTGGGCTGGGGGGTGTGAAATCCCACTGACCCTGTGGCAACACTTCCCCCGCAGGCAGCCCCATCACCCCCAACTACATCGACAACTCCACGTCCAGCATCGCTCCCTGGTGCACCTGCAACGCCAGCGGGAACCGGCAGGACGAGTGCGAGGCCTTCCTGCACCTCTTCACCAACAACGTGTGTCTCCGTGAGTACCCCCGGCACCCCTGCACCCTCCGGGGGGCCTTCCTTGGGATGGGGGCACGGAGAGGTCCTGCCCCTCAGGAGTCTGGAGGTGCAGACAAAGGAGGCCGGAGCGGGGAATTTTTTGCCTCGCCCTGACGAGCCTTTTCTCCGTCTCTTTTCCCAAGAAAACGCCATCCAGGCCTTTGGCAACGGGACGTACCTGAGCTCGGCCGGGGCCCCCTCCATCCCCCCCACCACACAGATGTACAAGCAGGAGCGAAACGCCAACAGGGCCGTGGCCACCCTCAGAGAGAACATCCTGGAGCACCTCCAGCCCACCAAGGTAGGACAGGGCTGGACTGGCCCCACGAGATGCTGGCTGTGTCTGTGACTCCTCCCACCCCCTTCCTCAGCTCAGCTGCCTCTTTCACCTGTGTCATTCCAGCCACACACATCCAACCTCCCCTCCACCTCCTGGAGTCCTTGATTCACCCTCTTCTGCATGTCCTGGCTTATTCTTCCCCAGCATCAAGCTCAGAGCTACAAGTTCCTGTCCCTCACTCTGCCCTCCTGCCTGTTGGTCTTTCCCTTTCCCAAACCTTGCCTTCCCAAACCTTGCCTTCCCAAACCTTCCCTTCCCAAATCTTCCCTTCCAAAGCCTTCCCTTCCCAAACCTTCCCAAACCTTCTCAAACCTTCCCAAACCTTCCCTTCCTTTTCCTTCCCACGTTTCTTCTAAAAGTCCTGGGAAATCCACGGATTTTTCAGGGATGTAGAAGGGGAGCCAGGACCACCGACGTGGCTCCTCACCTTCCTTCAGAGCAGCTTCACACCATCCTTTCCCCCTTCCCAGGACACAGATCCTCCCTTAGAGGAGGATCCTGGAGGCCAAAACACAGAGGCTTAACTATGTTCTGCACAGGAAAACTCCAGAGGAGAGGTTCCAGTCCGGCAGCAAATTAATTACTATCAAAATAATCTTAAAACTGCAGTGATTGAAAGCAAACAGCAGATCCATTCGCCGCCGGTGGCAGCGCGAGGCACTCGATGTTTTACTTTCAAAAGAAACAAAACCGACCTTGGCTCGCCCCCCCTCCAGAGTAATTTTCAGGTTGAATTGTTCTACCACTGAATAATTAAGGGTGGCCCTGATTTGCTGAAGGCTCAGGTGACACAGGCTGGCACTTTGGCCCAGGCTCCGAGCACCGAGCGTGGGTTTCGGGCTGGGCAGCTGGGACCTCCGGGGAGCTCCCAAACACGGCTTATCTTAAACCTTTCCACCTTTCCTTTCGCTGGGAAAACCACCTGAGTCACCTCAGGTTGGGGAGGTGGAGAAAAAGCGGCCTCGGGATTCCTTCACTGCTTTCCAGGGCGCTGGAATGCGGGAGAGGCATTTACTGGACCATGGACTTGGAACCCTGGAGATCCCAAGGGTTTCCCTGTAGCTGGTGCTCCCCAAACCTCAGAGAAATCCAAGTGAGGCACAGGATGCCCAGAGAAGCTGTGGCTGCCCCTGGATCCCTGGAAGTGTCCAAAGCCAGGCTGGGCTAGTGGAAGGTGTCCCTTCCAACCCAAACCATTCCATGGTTCTATGACATCTCCACCTTTGAGGCCACCAGGTGAAGCCAGTGGCCTGAGTGGGCACCCAGGCACCCCCATCACACAAAGACACTTCCAACCAGGGCCCAAAGCAGCTCTGAGCCCACGAGGTGACCCTGACACAGCCCCACCTCCACCAGCAGCTCCTGCAGAGCTCAGCTCACCTCCAGGCTGGAGTTTGGGTGCTCAGACTCAGCCTGCACAGCCCCCCCAAGCCCTAAATCCTCAGAGGGACCAAAGAGGGCCACCCAGATGATCAGAGGGATGGAACTGTCAGGAAAGGGTGGGAGAATTGGGGTTGTCCAGCCTGGAGAAGAGAAGGTTCGGAATGACCTGATTGTGGCCTTCCAGGGCCTAAAGGGGCTACAGGAAAGATGGACAGAGACTATTTCCAAGGGCCTGAAGTGACAGGACAAGGGGCAATGGCTTCAAACTGCCAGAGAGTAGGTTTAGATGGGATATTGGGAAGAAATTCTTCCCTGTGAGGGTGAGGAGGGGCTGGGATGGAATTCTCAGAGAAGCTGTGGCTGCCCCTGGATCCCTGGAAGTGTCCAAGGCCAGGCTGGAGCAACCTGGGCTGGTGGAAGGTGTCCCTGCCCATGGCAGGGGGTGGGGTGGGGTGGGGTGGAATGAGATGATCCTTCATCACCCTTCCAACCCAAATCATTCCGTGATTCCAGGATCACCCCTGTGACGCTTCCCCTCTCCCTTGCAGGTGGCGGGGGAGGAGCGGCTCCTGCGGGGCTCCACCCGCCTGTCCTCAGGGACCTCCAGCCCGGCAGCCCCTTCCCCCTGGGCAGCCTCTCCGCTCTGGGTGTGGCCTCTCCTCACTCCTGCCCTGCTGAGCCTCTCCGGGATGTGAGGGCAGGGCAGGAACGCGCCGGGCACGGACTCGATTTGTGTTGGTTTCTTTTACAAAAACGAGCAGAGCAGTAACTTTATTTCGGGAGGAGGGAGGGGATGGGAAGGAGAGGTGAGGTTTGGGCATCCCTCCCTCGCTCCCACCTCCTCCTCTTCATCCCTCTGCCAGTTTATTTGGTTTTCTACAATCAGCATCGTCGACAACCGGCTCATCCTTGGTCCTGGCCACCTTCCCACCCCACAGCTTGGTTGTTGTCTCTCCAGCTCTCTGTGGATGGGGTTGGAGCCGTGGACAATTCCCTTGGAAAAGAGGAAGGAGAGAGTTGATCCAGGACACGGAAACTGCAAGGGAAATGCTTTTGCCTGCCCCATCCAGGAGGGGAGAGACTTTGGATGGACGGAGGAGCTGTCAGGAGGTTTCCTGAAGCCCTGACTCGTGCTGGGGGGGCTCTTGACGGGACAAGTCAAGCGATGTGGAGCTCAGACTGTCTCCAGGGTTGCTCAGGACCCGAAGGACGACCCACCTGGTTCCTTCAGACTGAAGAAACCAGAGCAGTGGGAAGAAGGTTGTTGGGTTTCTTCACCAGAGAGGAACCTGAAGCAGCTCCAGGGTGGACCAAGTCACCACACCCCGAACTGGTTGATGGGGATTTCTCCACCCTCTGGAAAAAACCAGAGTACAACCAGCATGTATCTCCCAGCTGCCACCCACACCCCTTGGGGCCCTCCTTTTTTTGGGGAACCATGTGTCATGTGTTGCTGGTGTTCAGGAAGAATCACGTGTGTTGCGTTTTGGTCCCGGCTGGTTTCTCGTGTCCCGACCCCAGAATCTCAATCCTCTGCTCCTGTCAAGTGTTTGGGGTGGGTTTGTGTTTTTTTTTTTTTGTCACATCCAAACAACCAGTGTTGTCCCACTCCAAGCTGAGCTCTCTCCATCAGGGATCAATGTGTGAGCCCAACACAACCCCACTCTCACGTGCTGCCTGTGCATCCATCAGTCTCAGCCTTCAGCCAGGTTTTTTCCTGGGAAGGGATGGACAGGAAAGGTTCCCAGATACCACCCTGGGGACAGAAAAATCAATCTAATTTGTGGACAGGCTATTTCATGGATTGTGCCACGGGGAGGGAGTGCTTTCCTGTGGTTCCCCCTTCCTGGAGAGCTGGCAGAGCCCACCTGTGTCCAGGTGAGCAGGGGAAGGGCTTTTCCTCCTGCCAGGTCCTGTTTCTTCAGCCAAGAGGTCACCTGACCAAAGGGAAGAGACCCTTTGGACTGAGCTGGAGGGAGGGCAGGACAAATGTCTCTGGGGTGTCTTGGGTGGCTCCTGTGTGACCTTGGGCTACCTGAGCATTCCAAGGTCTTCCCCTGAGCTGAGGAGTCCCAGTGCCCTCCTACATCGAGCCAGGAAAGAGGATGGAAGGAAGGGTGAGAAGGTTTCCCAGGATAAATGCTGATCCAGGCTGGGAGGCACAGGAATGGCCCCAGATTCTCCTGGAATATTTAGGCCTGGGCTTTGCAGCAGCCCATTTATCCCTTGGGTTGTGCTCCTCCTGAGCATTTGGATCCATGGAAAGGCTTAGCAGCAGCTGGCACAGCACAATCCAGTGCTTTTTATTCCCATTCCCTGCAGGACACTTCCCACTTCTGATTTTGCTGGGAAACTGCAGCAGCTTCCTTGGGTTTTGGCCCAGCGTGGAATCCCTCTTGCTGGGAGCTGAACACCAGTGGGTGTTTCAGACCTGGACAGAAATCCTCCTGGTGCATCCTCTCCAAAGTTCCTGGTTTTCCTAACCCAGGACTGTGTAGAGGAACACGCCCAGATCCAAGGCCTGGTGTCCAGGGTGCCAAGTCCCACCCCGAGCTGAGACTTCCAGGTGAGAACTTCGTGGCCAAGAGGCTCCCCCAGGTCAGGGAGGGAGGGAGAGCTCCAGGAAGGTCCTTTCCAAGTGCCCTATCCATGCACGGAGCTGCTGTGAAGGTCTCCCCTCCATCCAGGACTTCAGTGTGCTCTGGGAGAGCAGGTGACACAACCCCAACCCTGCAAAACTCGTGTCCCCCGAGCCAGGGGTGGGAAGGGGGGGGTGACACCCTGACGCTCAGCCCTCCAAAGGCAAGGAACTACCTCAGCTCTGTGAGGTCACGCTGGGAATTGCCTTCCTATGTCCCAGTCCCGGGGTCATTCCCTGCTTCCCCACACATCCAGCCTGTCTCCACCAGCCTCTCCTGGTGCACAGTCTCTGCAGGGAGGGGACACGAGTGGCAGCTGCTCTCCAGGAGCATCCACTCCTGAGTCTCTCCTGGCTCCACTCCCGGGGCTCTCAGGGCTGGGTTCCAGTGATGCTGAAGTGCCACTTGGCCGTTTCCTCCTCATCCAGGGGAGGAAGAGTTTTTTTGGGTGGTTGGGATGATTGGAAACCCCACCTGACCTCTCCTTTCACACTGTGGGAAACAGCTGTGGAGAATCCAGAGGTCACCTGGTCCAGGACCGTGTCCCGCTGCGGCACCAATGGTCTGTCTGCACTTTTTGGAAGGTTCATCTGGAAGGATTTTCAACAATTTCAGTGAGAGG